GGTGAGGTCGGTCCCCCCCCCAGTCCGGGGCTCGCTGAGCAGCTTTCCGCTTGTTCCTCGCAAGGTGGACGGTGCCATCGCCTCCTGCTCGGAGATGCATGACATGAAGGAAGCCATCTACGAGTACAAGAAGAAGCTGGAAGGGATCGGGGAGGACTATCAGATCCAGGTACATTAATTAGAGGATCGCTGGGATGCAAGCCGCCTGCTCTCCGCGGGGTAATTTATCGAGCTGTTTTTGCGCGGGGATGAGAAGAATGTAAATTCTGGAAATCTGAAGCTTCCTGTGAGCTGGAAATTTCCCAGGGACGTGAAACCTGGAAGGTTGTAGAGCTTCTTCCCCCCCCCGCCAATTATTTAAGAGCCATAAAATGGAGCAGGCTGGGATTCGGGGGAAAGCTGGCCGTTTTGGGCTTCGCCGCTGCTTCTGGTAGATGACCTCAGGGGCAAATAATATCCCGTGCCCTAGTTTCGTCAGCTCTAAAATTGGAAAATCCATACCCGCCTGGCTGGTAAAAGTCCTCGGGAGCCGGGACGGATCGTTGCTTAGAGGTTTTCCTGCAAATATAATCACTCAAGGTCAAGCTTTTCTATCTGTAGATTTTTTTTTTTTTTTTTTCCCCTCCCCCCCCGCTTTGCTTTGAAAAGCCATCAGGGTGGTTTTCCACGCTGGAAAGCTGTGGTCATCCCTGTCTGACGGGGGAGCTCCTCGCCAGGCGATGGATGGATGGCGAGGGAATGCTCAGACGGAAACGCTGCCCTGATCCCAGCCTTTTTGGAGATTAATTTTCCCATTTACATGCTGAATGCGGAGTGGAAGTGCCGGGGCCGGTTGTAAAGGGCAATCTAAAACCAGGCGCTGTGCCGCTAAAGCAGGCTGGAGCAGAAAAGCGTGATTAAAAATGATTAAGTGGGGGGAAGAGAAAGCCTTTACTGGCGCTTTTTTGGCGTTTAGCGGTAAACGCCAAATTTTACCTCCTTTTTAGGGCGGATTTGGGTACGTTTGGTGCTGCTCGGGTGATGGCAGATACTCTCCTGTATAGCTGGGGAAAGCTTGGGCACAGGGGATTTTCCCACTGCCTCAAAGCCTTTCCCCGACTCTTCCCCGCTGAGGAAGGCTGCTCTATGTCATCCTCGAGGCCGGGGAAACAAAACGGCCGGGGGACTGCCGTAAATTAGCGACGAGGAGTGTTTATTTGAAGTCTGCGTGGAGCCAGAGCAGGTTTAAACAATGGCGAGGGGCCAGGAAAATGTGCTGGGGGGGAGGATGAGGAGGGGAGAGGGGCTGATGCTCGGCCATCGAAAAAACCAGCCTGGGCTTGGTAGGGCTGGAGGGGCTGCAGGTGGTACCGGGGGGGCTTTGCTGGGAGAGCCAGTGGAGCC